TTTGGCCACATATGCATATTATAAATGCCATTTACCAAATATAGGCATGTAGCCACATAAGGTCAAATACATCACTGCATCCCACCCCTGTGCTTATGTCAAGCTGCAGGCGGGAAATTCTCCGCCCGCAGCTGATTGGGTGGGACAGAAGGAGTTTCTTCCATGTTTTGGAGGTGCTCTTTCTGGGTTCCTTAGCTTATCTCTACTAAGCACCAATTTACTTTTATAAAGCTTACCTCAACTGGTGGCGAGTAACTCTTAAGGCCTGGCTAGTAGCTCAGGACTTGAAATTTTGAGCCCTGCCATATACTATACAATCTGACTTCATAACCTTCTTTATATCTACCAACAGCTATGTAATAGATGATGAATCTAATTTGTTTACTATGTGCCCTGTTTCACACCATGCAGTAGTGCATCCATGTTCAGTAGTGCATCCATGTTCAGTAGTGCATCCGTGTTTAGCAGTGCATCCATGTTTAGCGGTGGATCCATGTTCAGCAGTGCATCCATGTTCAGTAGTGTGCACACCAATGCAGCTCAACAGACATAGTGTGAACAAGTTCTTAACCAGTTGACATCCGCTAGGGGATAACAATCCCCCTATATAATAGCAAAGGCACACTGACAGGTCCTCTTTATGGAGACATTAGGGGTCTCTAGGACCCCTAATGTCACCTGTGGACCCCAAAAGAAGCTGATGAAGCAGAGATCTGCTTCATCAGCTTCTTTTCTCTGGCTATAGTAGCCAGATGACTGACAGGTGAATGCGGAAGTGATGTAACACACATCACTTCTGCATTCACAGCCCGGAGGGAGATCAGCAAGGAGCAAGGGGAGGGTTTGTCCGAAAAAACGAGCACATATAGACGATCGGCGGGCTATGGAGCCACCGATCGTCTATATGTGAAACACCCGGTAACGGGTGTTTGCATTGGTCGGGTCTTTTCTGCCCGTGCGTGCCCGCTAGGGGGCGCACGCAAGCAGAAAAGAATGCTCTAGATAGGCAGAGCCAGCTGTCACTCACGCACCTGGGCGGATCCAGACATAATTGTCGGGATCCGCTTCAGCTACAACGTCTCAGTATACCGCGAGCTGTAGCTCGCGGTATACTGCGGCGTCTCAGTATACCACAAGCTGTAACTCGCGGTATACTGAGCTTTGGGTCACGGGAGAACACTAGTTTGTGTCCTCCCGTTACCCTAAGGAGAACCATGGGGAAAAGCCCTAACCCCATAGTTCTCCTTTAAAGTGCTCCACCCTCTGAAAGGGAAGACACCGTATACTCATCTTTCCAATGGCCAATCTCTCTTACCTCTCCTCCGTTTCATTGTTGCAGCCTTGGAAACCCTATTCTGCATTTGACACTTCCCGGAATGCCCTGTATCCACTCTGATCACCTATGTAATTGCTGGGTCTTAAAGTGACAAGGGGACGGAGAAATGATACGGTGTGTGGTGGAAAAACTGGCACCCTAAACGCCTGAAAGTGACAAATTCAGAAGAGGATTTCTGGGGCTACAGCACTAGATGGGGGAGTGGTAGGAGAAACGAGCTGTCGGTAGGGTGAGTATAGGCCATCTACTCTTGCCTAAGGGGATACACTTTTAAAAGTGTAGAGTTCACAGGGTCTATAGTTACTCCACCATGCCTGCAGCTGCAGAGGTCAGTGGGGCCTTTTTTAAAAGCTTATTTGGCCTCTTTGTTAAGAATATGTAAATAACTGGATGGATTTAGTATTAATGCATATTATAGCAGACTGGAAATGACACAGCACTTGTGGGCCCACAGCTGATAACGCTTCCAAGTTCAGACATATGGGTGTATAATTTAGCTGAGAGGGCACAATGTCATGCCCCTGGCAGACCTGATAAGCAGCCTAATGGCCAACTGAAGGAGTGCACACGGCACAAGGGGATTCCTGACAATAATGCTGCTAATTGCAAGTTGGTGGCTTAGCACTGTCAGCCTGAAACCAGAAATAATGTTACTCAAATGATTTCCTGGCAAGAAGCTTTGTAACAGGAGCACACAAAATGATTTGTCTAAAGTGGAAGTAAGCCTTTTAGCCTCACAGGACCTTTTGCCACACAGAATATCTGTACCTTATGGTACATTTTCCTTATAAAGTGTCCAACTCCAGTGTTGCAACATCCATTATCTCCCTTTTGCTGGCTCTTCCATCTTCAAAAGTCTTCGGCCGCCTTGGTTGGCTGGCCTACAGGATGTTCATTCCTCCCAGGATTCATCTGTAAGTTTTTTTTATATTGCTATAGTTTGCTTCCATGGTAGGAAATTTGTATACAGAGAGTCATAATGCAAAACATACTGAAAGATAGATTTTGAGTTTACATACAGTTTAAATAAATAAATAAATGCATTGTTTGTTTTTTATCTTTTTCGTTCACAAAATCCCAAATTGGGACATGTTCAGTTTGATTTTCATAATGCTAGATTACACTAGATCAGCCATTCTCAACCAGGATCCTGTGGAACCCTAGGATTCCTCTAGAGCCTTGGTTCTCAACTGGTGGGTCGTGACCCAAAAGTGGGTCGCAACCCCATGTTCAGTGGGTCGCCACATGCCTTCCACTTTTCTAGGCGAGAGGCTCCCCAGCCTCCCCCTAGCGCAGTACCGTCAGTTCTCGTGCCAAGCAGCCATTCAAAATATGCTGGAGTGTCAGCTTCAAGTGGGATGGGATGGGGCTATGGCCACGAGGGAGCTTCATCCATACGTACATTGCTTACAGCTCCCTCAGGTGTCCTATAGAGGTGCCTGGACCGGAGTGACATCACATTCTGGCTCCCGACACTTCTACAGGGCGCATAAGGGAGCTGTACAAGCAATGCACATATGGATGGAGCTCCATCACAGCAGCCCAAACAGGACCCCATGCTGAGGATCCACTCCAGTTCTTGTAAAGCAGGGAGACTGGGTGGACCTACCACAAGTTCTAGTTTGGGAGGTGAGTTGCGTTGCCATTTATTTGAATGGCACCCCAAACACACCTATTACCCACAGTTGGATTGCCTTCACCTGAATGCACGGTACCGCAATGCTGCGCATTCCATTGCAGTGCGTCTTGGGTCACGACTTAATGACCAAGGACAAATGTGGGTTCTGACGTTACACGGGTTGAGAACCACTGCTCTAGAGGTGGTCAGGGCTGCATCCAAATTTCCGAAAGAAAAATTACAGAATCTGTTTCCAAAGGTCATTAAGCATGAAGGTTTGTTGTTAAATGTCAAAATAAAAACAAAAAAGCAAGGAATTCCCTCCCCCATTGATACCAGACCCTTTAAGTCTGGTAGGAATATTAGGGGGACCCCATGCCCAGAAAAAAAGTGTGGGGTTCCCCTCAAAAGTCATACCAGACAATTTAGATCTGTTAGGAATTTTAGAAGCACCCCAATGCCAAAAAGACAACAAAAACGTTTGGGGTCCACCACAAAATGACAGCTCTGAGCCAATTGTCAACAAATGGGCAGTGCGAGTTGTGACATCACAGGACTTGTTCCGTCCCTTTTGTTGACATTCGGGAACAGACCTGTCATAATAATAACAACTCTGTTCCTGAATGCCATTCGGGTCTGGGAGCCATGGATGGGGCAGATTCTAATAATAACAATAACTCATCTCCCAGACCTGAATAGCATTTGGGAGCTCCCGATTAGCTTGTCTGAATCCCAAACCGAATTGACTTTCGGACCTGAATAACACAAAATCTGAATCAAAACAAACCAATTTTTTTGCCGTCACCCATAACTACTTCAAACTGCCCACCAATGGAAGGATCATTCATCCCACTGGCCACAAATGCAAGGATCATACTACTCACTGGCCACCAGTGTAAGGATTATGCTTCCCACTGGCCACCAATGGAAGGATCATTCATCCAACTGGCCATCAGTGTAAAAATATTTCATCTCACTGGCCACCAATGTAAGCCTCATTGTTCCCACTGGCCACCAATGTAGGGATCATTCATCTCACTGACTACCAATGTAAGGATCATTCTTTCTACTGGCCACCAGTGTAAGGATCATTCTTTCTACTGGCCACCAGTGCAAGGATCATTATTTCTACTGCCCACCAGTGCAAGGATCATTATTTCTACTGCCCACCAGTGTAAGGACCATTCATTCCACCAGCCACCAATGTTAGGATCATTCTTCCCACTGGCCACCAATGTAGGAGGCATTTTTTCCCACCAACCCAAAATGAATTGTTTTTAGCAGAGGCTCCCCAAGACCTGAAAATGATTGTAACCCTTTCATTATCAGAGATTTCCGAAGCTTGGACACCAAGACTAGATTTAGCAGGATTGGTATGTGTCAAATAACTTGACAATAACTCTGAGTGACAGAAGGCTTGAGAAATGGGAACACAATCGCAGTTGCACTATCCTAGTTCTCTGCAGCTAGATTAATTAACGTCCTCGTTGTAAGAGGCAATAACATTAGGACTTGACAAGTCACGTTGTGGTGGAAAGGGGATAAGGGCTCCTCTGGGATAAAAAGGATGAGAACTAATGCTGGTGTCACAGCAGTACACATGAGAAACCCAATGACCAGGCCTTGCTGCTTTGTCTTCACACATGATAGATCTACCCCCATACAGCCTACATCTCCTGCTCTGTGATTTACTAATGCCTTCTATGATTTTCCACACACAGGTCAATACAGTGCACGTAACTGCAGTTGTAGGTCATCCGATGAAAGTGGATTAGTAATGGGACCATGTCCACTATATGTTTGACAATGCAGTCCTAGCAAACAATAAACTTTATTTGGCCAGCGCTCTGGTTCTTCCGAGCAGTGCTATACAGCGATGACTGCAGTAGATCAGCATGGTGCGATCGATCAGAGGCTGAACCCCCCTCGTAGTGGTGTGCTGGCGACCCCCCGGCACAGAACGGGTTAAGTTCTCAGTGCCTGGCCAGCTTGTTGAATGATCTCACAGTGTCACATTGTTTCCACTTTGTGCAGAGGGAGATCCGAGAGCTGCTGACCCAGAGACCTGCTGCACCGCCGCACACACACACATACACACACACACTGACACACACACAGAGACATCTCCCACTATCCCAGGGAGGGGAAGGAACGAGTCAGGGCCGATCTCCGATAATCCTGCTGCCTGTGGAAGTGAAGATGGCGGCTCCCATCCCTGCTAAGCCAGGCACCGTAGGGGGAGGCAGCAAACCTGCTTCCCCGGAGCTGGATTTCAGGTCTGGAGCCAGGATCGAAGAATTAAACAAACTCATCGTGGAATTTAGCAAGCACGATCAGCGGGAATACGACGACCAGCGAGCCCTGGAGATCCACACAGCCAAGGACTTCATCTTCTCCATGCTAGGTAATATGAGCAGCACCTTGTGTGCCTGCACTGACAGGGGGAGAGAATGTCCTCACAGTCCCTGGGCTTGGAGCAGCTGATGATCAGCACACATACTATAGGGTCTGATAGGGAGGATCAGCACACATACTATAGGGTCTGATAGGGAGAATCAGCACACATACTATAGGGTCTGATAGGGAGGATCAGCACACATACTATAGGGTCTGATGGGGGGATCAGCACACATACTATAGGGTTTGATAGGGAGGATCAGCACACATACTATAGGGTCTGATAGGGAGGATCAGCACACATACTATAGGGTCTGATGGGGGGATCAGCACACATACTATAGGGTTTGATAGGGAGGATCAGCACACATACTATAGGGTCTGATAGGGAGGATCAGCACACATACTATAGGGTCTGATGGGGGGATCAGCACACATACTATAGGGTCTGATAGGGAGGATTAGCACACATACTATAGGGTCTGATAGGGAGGATCAGCACACATACTATAGGGTCTGATAGGGAGGATCAGCACACATACTGTAGGGTCTGATAGGGGGGATCAGCACAAATCCTATAGGGTCTGATAGGGGGGATCAGCACACATACTGTAGGGTCTGATAGGGAGGATCAGCACACATACTATAGGGTCTGATATGCGGGATCAGCACACATACTATAGGGTCTGATATGGGGATCAGCACACATACTATAGGGTCTGATATGGGTGATCAGCACACATACTATAGTGTCTGATCCGGGGATCAGCACACATACTATAGTGTCTGATCCGGGGATCAGCACACATACTATAGGGTCTGATAGGGGGGATCAGCACACATACTGTAGGGTCTGATAGGGGATCAGCACACATACTATAGGGTCTGATAGGGGGGATCAGCACACATACTGTAGGGTCTGATATATGGGGGATCAGCACACATACAATAGGGTCTGATATATGGGGGATCAGCACAAATACTATAGGGTCTGATTCGGGGGATCAGCACACATTCTATAGGGTCTGATGTGGGGGATCAGCACACATACTATAGGATCCGATGTGGGGGATCAGCACACATACTACAGGGTCCGATAATGGTGATCAGCACACATACTATAGGGTCCGATAATGGTGATCAGCACACATACTAAAGGGCCCGATAATGGTGATCAGCACACATACTATAGGGCCCGATAATGGTGATCAGCACACATACTATTGGGTCCGATAATGGTGATCAGCACACATACTATAGGGTCCGATAATGGTGATCACCACACATACTATAGGGTCCGATAATGGTGATCAGCACACATACTACAGGGTCCGATAATGGTGATCACCACACATACTAAAGGGCCCGATAATGGTGATCAGCACACATACTATAGTGTCCGATAATGGTGATCAGCACACATACTATTGGGTCCGATAATGGTGATCAGCACACATACTATAGGGTCCGATAATGGTGATCAGCACACATACTATAGGGTCTGATTTGGGTGATCACCACACACACACACACTATAGGATCTGGTATGGGAGCAGCTGTTCACACATACTATATGATAAAAAGAATGGTCAGCACACATACTATATGATCCGATATGGGAACAGCTGATCAGACGTGCATTTCCATTCAGGAGGCACCCATGCTACCCACATGAATGAATATTCCTATTCCTTCTCTTTGATAGACTTGATTGATAGCTGCTCTACGGTATTGTATACAATATCTGACAATGGCGCTGCTATCTTGATGGCCAGGTCAGGTACATGGGACTGCTAATTTGCATATGGACACATACCTGATTTAATGTGAAGATGGTTCACGCTAGTTGTAGACCCGCTCAATACATGTCAGCGGTCCGAGCTATTATCAGCAGCATGTCAGATACAGTAGCCCCTTGTAATTTATTATTCCATTTTACGCACATGGATGTGTGTATGTGGACCGCCTGTTCAATCACTGCACTTCACACATGGCTGTGTGCTTCCTTACACAAGTCATATATCATTATGCTTTGCTTGCATGTCTGTCTGTAAGTATAAGTCAATAACTCTATGGATGACATCTATCTAATACATCATCACATCCATCCAAGTGCATTAGTTCATAATCTTTACATTTAGGTTGGATTGCAAATCATTAGTGGTATGATCTATATGACTGATTGGAGCGTTTTCTTTGTATGGGGAAAAAGGGAGCCTGAGATTAGGAGGCTGATTTACTAAAGGCATTAAGATTCTTTATAAATTGTGTGAATGTTCACTTCAATTATCTAATCACAGGAAAAACAAATTTCTGTTTACTCATTTCCTCTGCATCTGATTGGACAATTTATTCCCCCCAATATATTATTTAATGCTTTTCTGCTCCTTTTAGTAAACCAGCCTCTATATAAGATTCATGGAAATTATTATATCAGAATCAGTTCAAACTTGCACACACATGGTCTGTTTCACGTTATTCCTTGGCCTTGTTTCATGTTGCAGAGTAGGCCCTGTGTATACACACCTCTCACGGAATAATACTACCTGCAGCAAAGGTGTGGTATATTTACTCCTACAATGAGATAATCGTAGAGACATTAACCGCTTGCCTCCCATGCGGCGTTGTAGATGTAGGTGAACAGTCTTCAATGTATGTCACGTGATCCTTGGCGCGTTTTATAACTTTCCAGCGATTACTTTTCATTGCGCAAATGATTGAGGAAGTTCTGACTATCCCGGCAGCTGCTCCACTTTCTACATTCAGTTCATTAGTAGACAGTAGTGAATATGCCATGTCACTGCAGAGCACATTTATTTATAGTTTTCTTCCTCCAGCTCGCACATTTGCACTGGATACATACGCACAGCTATGTTTGTATAGTGTGACAGCTGTACAGATTAACGCAGACTGGAAAAGAAAAGGCGCCGCCATAAAGTGGGGTATAGAAAATACTATTCAGTGGGTCGTCAGTACATCAAGAAGCCTAAAAGATCTCTACCTAGATAGGATCATTAAAGTTGGCATAGAGCAAGGGTAACCAAACGTCAGCTCTTCAGATGTTGTGGAACTACAAGTCCCATAAAGCACTGAACGACTCTGACTGCCACAGACAGGACTTGCAGGGGCACATGCATCATGGGATTTGTAGTTTCACCACAGCTGGAGGGCTGGAGTCTGGTTACCCCTAGTATAGTAAGTACATGTGTCATGCTAGCCATACACACTGAGCACATTTTGGCTGGTTCTTAAGGAATGAACTGAAATTCGTTTACTGAGTGGCCCTGTCTTCTGCCTCCAGCCCGACATCCTTTCGACTGAGCAAATCTGAGGAGCTGGGTGGAAATTTTCAGCCGAACAGCGACTTCATCCAAGTAGATGCAGGCACTGTTCAGGTATTATGAAAGCCAACAGGGCTGACTATCAAAATATAATAGCCGCAGTGGAAGATTCCTCCATCTGTGCTATTCCGGGTGGATTTATTTTCCGTTCAGCCCGAAAGCTGAACAAAATAAAAATCTACTAATGTATACCCAGCTTTAGACTTCTCTCGTTTATCCCCCACTGGATGAATGAGAGAAATTGGTCGATTTCCCCCATCCATGCTAAACATCATGGATGGAGAAATCTCCCGTCAACTAATTGAATTTGGACAGCCTGTACCCATACAAGTGTCTGCATCTGATTGGATGCAGTTGCTGTTCGGCCGACAATTTTCTAACACAATTGAAGTTTGACAGGGCCACTTAGAGCTGGGATTTCAGCCAATTCAACAGGAATCGGCCAAAAGTCAAGCTGTGTGGACTACCTTTTGAGGGCCCATTCACACCACATTCAGATCATCTCCAGACCAGATTGTTTCTGGACCCAAAATGCATCCTAATGTATCCCTATGCTTTGTCTGGCCTCTGTTCACACCAGTGCAGTCCGTACCAGACCTGCTTGTCTTATTTTGTCGGGTTTGGAACGCACCTGTAAGACCATTTAAGCTAAAAAAAAAACCTTCTGAACGTGGCAAAAGACAATGCACTGCGTTCCAGACCTGGTCAGGAAAATGGTGTGAACCTGCCCTGAAAGAAATGTGCATGTTTTACTGGTCCATGTCTATTGTCTACAGAACCACTGCTTTAAAACCCTTTATATAACTCCCAACTGTCCTTTATTTCGAGGGACCATCCCTCTTTTGTGATCATTCCAACTGTCCCTCTTTCTTTCTCAGTTGTTCCTCTTTTTTTTGTTCTTATGTATAGAACTGGAATTATAGAATTATAAAAATGCACAATTTAAACTAATGAAACTGACCTACAGCTGTACATTTTTCATCCAACCTCTAAATTATTGGGTTTCTTATTTTGGAAAATCATCATAAGCAAAGGTTGCTGTGAAAAATTACTTGTGGAGTTAACAAAATAGTAGGATTTCTCTTGTTTGGCCCATGGGGCAAATCAGACAATTCCCCCCATCCATGCTAAACAGCGTAGATGTATCCTGCCAGCTATTGCATTCAGCAGCCGGTATGCCTTGAAGCTGTTGAAGATGTGATTGGATGCGGTCACTGTTCAGCTGACAATTCCCCCTCGCAGCTTCTTCAGGAAAAGTTAGCTGAAAAATCGACTTTTGTCGAGCTAGAGGGCGCCTTCAGGGCCATCATCTCCTCCAATTTTCGGCCAGTTCAGCAGGTAGTGGCCAAAAATTGGAGCAGCGTAAATCCGGTTTAGGTGGTAGTTTCATTAGTGTGCCATTATCTCCGTATGCTAGATGTCGAGCCCACAAAAGGCTGTAGAGGAATCTGACATCATGGGGCTGGAGACGGTTGCTGAAGAGGTAACATGTTGATGGCACTAGGTTTTTAAATTGTTAGTTGGGTTCACCACACTTATCACTCCCATTTGATGACGTTCACCTGAAGTTCATCATTTGATGAAGTCCTTATGTGCGCTACACAACCTTCAGTTTGCCGGATGCTTGACGTGGCACAATGGGTGACACGGTTGGAGAGTGCAATAA